TCGTACTTCTTGCCTATTGTGACGATCTAGCTGTTAGTTTGATGGGAGAAAGGGTGGGAGTTGGTTGACTATAAAGGGGGCAAGGCATTGGAATGGCCTCCTTAGTAGTTGTGCTGTATCCAGATCGTGCAGGATGAGGAGATTGTAGTAGTATCCTCCTGATGAGTCCGCTAGCGGGGTGGACGAAACGCGTCGAGGAGTGGCCGTGTGAGTGGGTTGTAACTGGTGTTTTGGTTTATCATCAGGTTACTAAGTATAAATCTGTTTCTCATGGTTTGAGTGTGCGTAACGGAGTGTGTTGCTTGGTGAATCTCTTTCTCTTCGTTCTCATGCTGGATCGGTCTTGCCGGACCGTTTGTCTTATCTCCGATTTGCGTAGCAACCTTCTATGAGATTGCACTTTGGGTGGTGGCTACGTCTACGAATCTTTTGATATGGATCGGGTTATCTATAAGTGCGCCTTGTGGTTTGAGGAGGCGGATGTGCTTGTTAGAATCGTCATTACGTACGATACGGCTACTAACACGATTAAGTTCCTGATTAAGCGGGATTAGTTTACGATGGTATCATTACGTTTTTTTTTTTTTCGATTGATTTTCTCTACGACCTGCACCATTCTAGGGGTTGGATTCTAGTTTTGCTTCATTTTCGCGGTCGATTTTCCTTTTTCGCGATCGATTTCCCTTCTCTATCTCTTTCCCTCACCTTTGTCCTCTGTCCGCCATGGCTACTCAAGGTACCAAATGTTTTAACTGCGGAGGCGATGGCCACTTTGCTAGGGAGTGCACTTCGGCACGATCGACACCGAATGCTGGAAGTGGAGTGAACGCACCGGTCATCACACCAACACGGTATTGGACACCACGTCGCGTGTAAGATGATCCGGAGGAGAAAAAATTTTTGAGACAACTCATTGCCGAGAAAAAGGAGGAGCGGGAGAAACGACGTGAGTTGGATGAGAAGAGGAAATTTGACGAGATGATTAGATCTGAGATGGAAAGGAACAGTGAGGCGATGGAGGCCAGGGTTTTGTCGAAGATAGGTAGGCAATGTTTGGCGGCTAGGGAGGAATCTCGCAAGGAGGAAGCCAAATCTCCTTTGATTCGGGCGCCGGTGGCCTGGGAAAGGGAGATTGACGAGTATGAAGGAAAGGGTATCGAGGATATAGAAGACGAGATAGTGAAACTCTATGAGATTCGCGAGAGGAAGAGACGTGGGAAAGGCAGTATGGATAATGAACGACGTCCTATTTGTCAACCGATTTTTCGCAGAGAAGATGGGACGGTGGATGATGTTGGGGTGCCCGTTGAGTCTTCAAGGATGGGTGAGCAGCGAGGACGTACCAAGATCGCAGCAGGAAGTGGACCGGAGGGGGTGCTTCGATTCGTCCAAGAGCAGAGACGTCTTCTCACTACCAAGAATAAGGACCAACTCAAACATATCTGCAGGCTTGAAGATGCGACTTACACTACAAAGGGGTCAACCATCGAAAGGATTATTGCGGCATGAGCCAAGGTGGCTTATGAAGGTTTTGTGTTCACCCCGGTGTCGTCTGCCCAGAATTCTCCTGAAGATGGTAAGACTCTCAGTACGTGACTGGACCATTTTGCACGTTTCAAGCTATGGTCTAATCTGCTTGATTGTATGAGGCTTCGACGCGTAGCTTTGGAAACCGATTCCTCTAATCGACTAAAAAGATTGTATGACAACTGCGTGACTCTATGTTTTGTAGCTTTAGCTTTGCAGGGCAAAATTTTGTGGATGTGTAAGTTTCGTTCATTCCTGCTGACAGTAGACTGGGAGAACTAGAATTCAAGACCGGTCGTGTATCTGCTGTCATCACCCTGGTGCAAAGCACAATATGTAGGGTGTACGACTCGTAGAATCTTCATTAGATGGGGGGAACATCTCTGGACCGTTAAGTTGAATGGGTTGGGGGTATGCCCTAAGTTGTACCGGTGGTTACGATCTTTCGGGCCATGGAACTATGTCATTGTCAAGTTAGTAAATGGGGTCAATTCTGTAGAAGCTGGGGAACGCGCGCTTATTAAGAATTTCTCGCCGGTGCTTAACTTCAGAAAGAAGGTAAGGAGGAGTCAGGTTTCTACCAGACCAGGAAGGATTCGGAGGCAAGGTAAAACAGTGAAGCAAGTGGATCTTGCGGTGCTGAAGTTAAGGGTCTCTAATGGTGCTTGGACTGATAGCTTGCTGAAAATACTGCGTGAAGCAGTTTTGTGTCACCAGCAATACCTCGTCATCCAGTCGACACCAGGTAATCTGTGGGCCGAATCATGGTCTGTGACTCGTAGGATGTTTGGTATGACGCTGGTAAGATTTTCAAATGGTAGTTTTGCTTTGCGTGATATGAAGGAGGAGATTCAATCTGGTGGAACCTGGTACTTTGGACCTGTTGTGTTCACACCGAATGAGAGATCGGCCTACAAGGGGCGACTACGTTTGTTACTGGTCGAACCCTAGACCAGGCGACTTCTTAGATTCAAATCGGTCGACAGGTTAGTCCAATGGTACCATACGATTCGTGATTTTTCAGGAAAAGCAACGCGCATGTCATTGAAGGGTATCCTAGCTAGAGCCATCAAGCAAAAGGTAGGTATCGATGTTCGACGGAGAATTGTGGTTCGGTTGGCTTATGATCATCGTATTTTGACAGCGAGAGTACATGCATTGCTTCTTCAAGTCCTCGACGCTAGCCCTCTACCAAGTTCGGTCATTGGTCTGATTAGGAACAAGGTCCGATTCGTCTGCCTGAAGAATAAACCCTTGTCCCAGTACTTGTGGAATTTTCATAGGTATGTCAGAAGGGAATGTGATTGGATCTGTGCTTGTCACTTGGAACCTCACTGGGAAAGGTTGGGAATGCATGTAAGGGCTAGGATAGCATCCCTACCTGGTATACCACCCTTCTTTCTGAACTCCAGGAATATCCCTCATGATTGTCCGGTAAATGGGGTTGTGGAATTAGGAAAGGAGGGAGCGTCGGTCGTGAACTACTTGGGGTCGACATTTTTAGTCACACAGGAAGATCTCCATGGTTGTTGGGATCATACCAGGAAATGTGGACCGGTTCTCACTGCTCATTCATTAAGGGAATGGATGCATCGTTTCCAACCTTTTGTGTGTGTTCCGATTGATCGGAACGTTTCAGACACTCTCGTTGTGTGTCCGGTCATTTACAAGCATAATTTGTGCATGACCTTCAATTGGAATCTTTCGTTCTCTGCTGACCACGGTTGTGAGGAAGAGCTCCTTCAGGAAATGAGACAGGTTTATGTACGACCGTGACTGGAAAGACTAGGTAGATGGGATGCTGCGGGGAGGTTTGGATGTGCGTATGTTCTACCGAAACATAAGGACTTAGGAAGGTGGCGCCCGATTTCGCCGACTTTCGCTGAACCGTCGAGGTTAGCAAGCGGTAGATTGGCTAGGGCGCTTAATGCTCTGTTGTTTGCCTTGCACACTGGAACTAGCTTCAATCTGAAAGCTGCTATGGACTTTTTACCTGGACTGCCGGATATGGAGAAAAACTTCACGCGTATGCACCAACTGACAGACATTGTTTCGGCCTCTTTTGACATCAAAGACATGTTTGTGTCCTTGCCTCACCATGACCTCATTGACGTTGTCTTTTAGATGATTTCCATGCATCAGAACAAGGGTTGTAAGGGGGTTAACGTGACCAGACGTGGTAAGAAGGCGTGGTTATCCTATGGAGGTGCTAGGGATGAATGTGTTTTCGTTTCGATGTCTGATCTGCTGGAGATGGTACGATTTGATTTGAAGTTCACTTATATCTATCTACGAGGCGGGGGAACAATTGAGGCAGGTTATTGGTGTACCAATGGGAAAAGCCTCTAGCTGCCCATTGGCTTGCATATTATGCGCCCATGCTGAGCATCGCTTCCTGGCTTCTTTAGGAGCAGATAGAAGGCTTGTACATGGTTTCCACATTGCCGATGATGTTACGATTTTTATTGCAATGGTGGGATATGGTGAGCCGGACAAAGCCGCACGTATCCTGGCATCTTTCTCACGTTGTTATGGTGAGAACTTGCGGTTGGTACGAATGGACCAAGGGGGTGACCGTTGGAAGTTTGCAGGTGTGAATGTACATCGGATTGGGGCATGTATTCGTACTATTGCCATTGTTAAGAATGCCCAGGATATCTGGTCTACCGGAGACCTGATTTTTGGAAGCTTCCAGGATTACGCTTCTTACTCAAGTAAGAAATCTAAGATTGGTGCTATTATTAGTACCTTACATCGGGTATTCAGATGGACAAGTGACTCATGGGGACATCTTGAGGTTTTCATGGCAGTTCGAAGGGAACTCCTCATTCGTGGTTACCCGTCACGTTTGGTTGAGAGAACATTCAGCAGATTTGGTAGGAAGGTTGGAACTCCAGCGGCTGAAGCAATTGAGTATTGTCTCTCACATGGGACTTGGCATGCGTTGCTAAGTAGGCCTGTATGGCCTTTGTAATTTTAAACGGGTGGCTTGGGACTTCCCTCGGGGGGGGGTTTCCTGACCTAAGTCCCTGACAGGTTCGGACGTAGGCAGTGATTTCCTTAGGCTCGAATGTCTTGTGTAGCTACTATAGGACCGAATACTTGCCAAATAATTAGGTTTATCCCGACTTCTGTCCAATTTTTGCGGCTATTTTCTTGCGGAATATGGAGTATGGATGTAGGTACCTATGTTTTTTTCTTGATTCTGATGTTTCGGCATGCCACCTAGTGTCTAGGTACTTTTGCACAATTTTGCCAATGGATAGACCCGCTGGTCCTGACGGATCCAACCCGACGGTAGTTTTTAGGACCTATAACCAAGTCGGATACTTTGTCGAACTCAGCAGTCATGTATCTTTAGGACGAACCGGACTATATTCCGATATTTTTCTTTGATATCCATAACTGCCGTGGACACTGGACGGTTTTCGGGTACCATACTACCGACGCAGTGAGCAGCATCTCTGCTATATACTTCCCTCTAAGCGTGTCCTTGGCCTCTCAT